ATTAACACAAGGAATAAAAGCGGGAAACACTGACAGACTGACAGAAAAACTCCGATTCTTGTAACACAATAGAAATAAAAGTGAATCAAAACGTATAAATATGAACGTAATAAACCCTTCTTTATTTCTTTATAGGATAAATTCTACTTTATATTTTACAATACTTGTAAAACTATTTAAAAATTATAAATCAATAAATTACAATAAACTAGCTTAATAATATTGTATAATAAAATAAAATAATTCACTTATCCGTGTTTGATAATTATTTAATATTAATAAATTAATATTATCAGTATTATTAAAGAATAATAATATAATAATATCTTGTTACTTGGTGAGGACATCAACCCAGCCATCTAAAATAATCATACTATTCCATCAAAAATGTCCCAAAATTATTATTATGATCAGCAAGTACAAAATTACGATAATTACGTGCATGTTCAAAATTCCGAACAGCAACAAATTAATCAAGAAATTATTGCATTGCCAGTTATTATTATTATTATAAATATTTCAATACAAGTGTACTTAAGATCATCAAACTACCTAAAGTTAAATTATTTATATGAAATATACTACCACTACCACTAAGAGGAGTAGGAGTTAGTGTTGGATTACTAGCACTAGCACTAGCAGTATTAATATTGGCACCAGTAGTACTGGCACCAGTAGTAGTGGTAGGATAAAAACCACTAACACCAGTACTAGTAGTAACAGGAACAGCAGCTGGAATTGATACATTCGCTGAATTTATTATCTGAAATACACCTGAAGTTTCTACATAAGTACCTTGTGTATATTTTAAAAAACTATTAAATTTTTTTGTGGAAGGAATAAAATATTATTATTATTATTTAAAGAAAAACAAGCTACAAATAAAATTAAGTATAAATTGATCAATTAATTATTAACTTACTATTGTCCTTCTGGCCCGACATCACTTGGTACTGCGTAAGTAAATTTTCTCGTATTAGCGTCAACATCGTTAGCAACATTTCTAACAAAAGTTTGAATTGATGTGTCATTACCTATTAAAGGAGAAAATAACAATCAACTGTTAATTAAAAATATTAAAAATTAATTATTAATATATAAACCAATATTATTAATATTTACCATTAAATAAATCAATTTGAAGCTTGTTTAAAGTTTTTATAGAGGGATTTTTACCATCATCCTTCCATGTAATGGTTTCAGTCGCCCCAGCAGTCCATATTGTTTTACTAAAAGGAGAGGTTGTAAAAACGCCAGCTTTTACTGTTGTAAGAAGTAAACTTGTAAAAATTAAAATTGTTGAAATCCTCATTTTTATTATTTTTTTTTTTTAAAAAAAAAAGTGAGAGTGAATTGTATGTGTAGGTAGGTAGACGTAGGAGAAGAATGTGTGTGTGTGTGTGTGTGTGTGTGTGTGTGTGTGTGTGTGCTATTATATGCAATATAATAGATGATGAAATAATTTTAATTTTAAATAGTCGCGGACTAATTAACTTCAAAATGAAAGTGTTGTGAGCGAGTGTAAATGGATGATGGTAGTGGTTTTTTTTTGAGTGAGAAAAAAAAGAACAAAAGTTTTTTGAAACCTTTTATACTTGTTTATTTATACGTTGTTACTTACTATACTATGTTTATATATGAATAAGGAGATCCATTGACTTTATAGTATAAATTGGGCAATTTGTTTCAAACATTAATTATCCCACGTGATTCATTGTTCAATTTAATTCATTCATTTATATTCATTGATTCGTAAATTCATTCATTTGAAATATTTTCATATTAAATAAAAACTTTCCAACAGGAATATGCTTTTAAATAACGCTTTACCTTATTAAAATGCCAATATCAATTAATTATATCGATGACGATTCGGTAATTGGCTGTGTGGGTATGAATTTTTAATTAGTTTTGGCCGAGCAATATTTTTAGTTGCTTTTTGATAATGAAGAAATTTTGATAATGTACAGCTATACTCTTTGTTACTATCAATTATTATCAATCTTTTTTTTAAATTTTTTATTATTTGATTTATTTATACATTAAATCTTAATTTGCTTAAAAATCATATAATCTTAAATTTGTTTTTAAAAATCTTAAAGCTTATGTGTATAATTATATTATTATTAAAAATAAATATAAAAAATATAATTATTGAAAAATAAAATATAAAAATATAATTATTGAAAAATATATATATAAAAAAGAACACGTAATGATATAAGTAAATGTGAGAGGGGATTCTTGGTAATATAAAAAATTATTTAATATTTCGATTCATCATTATCGAAAACAGATCGAGATAACTCGATCTCTGGAAAGAGTGGGGAATCGTGTATATTTGAATATTGATAATATTCAATCTCCGGTGATTCCAACTCTGAAAAGCTTGTTGAAGTAGGGGAACTTTCAACAGCAGAATTAGGGATTAAACATTCTTCGGGTGACGTGATCATCACATCCGGCATATATTGAAGTTGCGCATATGGAAGTTGTTGGTATTGTTGTGGTTGGTCGAAATCTTGGTTCATGTTAGGATTTTGGAATTGTTCTAGATACAAAATTTCGTAAAATTGTTGGTATAATTGATATGTCTGTTCTTCGGGGAAATAATTGTTTTCTCCAAATATATTAAATTGATTATTATTGTTGTTGTTGTTGTCGTTGTCGTTGTTGTAAATTTCATCATCATTATTATTATTATTATCATTATTGTTGCTATTAATGATATTATTGTTGTTGTTGTCATAATTATTATTATTATTATTATTATTATTACTATCATCATCATCATCGTCATAATCACCATAATCACCATCATCATCATAATCACCATCATCATAATAATAATCGTCGTCATTATTATCGTTGTTGTTGTTGTTGTTATTTTTCCTCCCCTTTCTTTTTGGAGCGTATACATAATTGGGATATTTTTCCTTATGCAATTTAGCAGCAAGTTCCGCCAGTTTTATAAAATATAATTTTACTTGCGAAGAGACATTATCCCACTCCTCTTTAGCACTTGTTGAGATTTTACCGGCTGTACGGTCGCTTTTCTTTCGATTTTTAAGGCCCTCGCTGTGATTTTTTCTGAAGAGCACAAATGCATTTTGCGGCCTAGGAATATGTATTTTTCCTGTTGGATCTTTTTGTGATTTATTATATGATCTACTTTTCGTGGATGGAGAAATAAGCTCCTCTATACTAGAAAAATGTATTTTACATATTGTTGTGGTTGGTCGAAATCTTGGTTCATGTTAGGATTTTGGAATTGTTCTAGATACAAAATTTCGTAAAATTGTTGGTATAATTGATATGTCTGTTCTTCGGGGAAATAATTGTTTTCTCCAAATATATTAAATTGATTATTATTGTTGTTGTTGTTGTCGTTGTCGTTGTTGTAAATTTCATCATCATTATTATTATTATTATCATTATTGTTGCTATTAATGATATTATTGTTGTTGTTGTCATAATTATTATTATTATTATTATTATTATTACTATCATCATCATCATCGTCATAATCACCATAATCACCATCATCATCATAATCACCATCATCATAATAATAATCGTCGTCATTATTATCGTTGTTGTTGTTGTTGTTATTTTTCCTCCCCTTTCTTTTTGGAGCGTATACATAATTGGGATATTTTTCCTTATGCAATTTAGCAGCAAGTTCCGCCAGTTTTATAAAATATAATTTTACTTGCGAAGAGACATTATCCCACTCCTCTTTAGCACTTGTTGAGATTTTACCGGCTGTACGGTCGCTTTTCTTTCGATTTTTAAGGCCCTCGCTGTGATTTTTTCTGAAGAGCACAAATGCATTTTGCGGCCTAGGAATATGTATTTTTCCTGTTGGATCTTTTTGTGATTTATTATATGATCTACTTTTCGTGGATGGAGAAATAAGCTCCTCTATACTAGAAAAATGTATTTTACATGGTGGATTTTCTAACAACTTATCGTCGTCGATCTCCCCTTCGTTTAGAGAAAAGATTACGTTAAGGTTGTTGTCTTTATTATTAGTGGTGGTTGGAGGTCGGTTGTTATAATGACTACCACCACGACCGCTTCTATTATTGAGAGAGAATTTTATCATTCCATAATCGTTTCTTTTTGCCTTTGGCATGACTATGATTTAAATATTTCGATATTTTTATGTAATGATAACGAGATGATACGATTATCGAGAAATTTATTGTTTGTGTTGTGATTTTTATAGTTTCGAAAAAAATAAGGAACAAAGGTGATTTTATACAAGGATTTTGGAGGTTCATATTTTAAAGGACTATTTATATTTTTTTTTTATTATAAAGTTCAATTAACTTGTAAAAAAATCGGAAAAACAGTGTTTTATTGTGTTTTACAAAAATTACTTATAAATAAAGATTTTCCCACATTCGAATAGATTTTCAGAATACAGTTTTGGATTTTTCTAAAATTAACAACCAAAAGCACATAATCAAAAACAATTCACTCTTTAAAAAGTGATGGCGAAGAACAAGAATAATGAGATAATTTTCATTATCGTTAGAGCATTGTGGGTAAATGTATTGTAATGTATGAATTGAGTGAAGTTTTTGTCCAAGATCGACATAAAGTTATAACTTACGTATTTGAATATTGACGCAGAAAAAAAAAGAGAATGCGCATACATCTGATGGCTTGTATACAACAAATCAAAAAATAAATTTGCAAAACAAAAAAGAGAATTATTTGGAATAATAAAAAAGGAAAAACAAATAATTGCTGAAATATAATAGATTTCGTTTAATTGATCATCAAAAGTTTTAAATTTCAACAGTTAATTCAATTAAGCAGGTTTTCAATATAGCACTTTAACACTATTGTCCTCTTGCTATTATCAAGGAACACAATTTCCGGTAGGTACGTAATATGATGTTGTTGTGATTTTCAAATATGGAGAGGGTCAGTCGGTGTACACAAAATTACAATATTTGACAATGTTTTGTGGCAGTTAAAAAATTATATTTTTATTATTATTAATTTTTAAAGAATTCTAGGTTTTACTATTTCAAGTAAGAAATAATCAAATAAGAATTCCACAAATTTAAAATAATAATAATAAGGAATCATGGGAACAATGACTGAAAATCAATAAAAAAAATTACATTGTGCAACTTTACTTTATAAAAACTTATGGACTTACGTACACAAATGCGCTGTTATTGATTCCATATTTGTGTTTTTTTTTAGGGATTTCTATCAGATGCTGTCTTGTTTACAAGTTCGTCAACTTTATAGAAATATAATACTAACCAATCAACACCTAAACTTTCAATTCTTGGTTTTTATAAAGACTTTTATAAGTAAACTTCTAGAACCAGTGCTCATATTGTCGCCGCGTCGTCATCATTGATACAGTTAGTTTGCTTTAAGTTATTACCGTAATTGGGAACAAAACAATTTTTGAATTGGGGCTAACTTTATTAAGCAATGATCATCAGATGGTTTTACATAACGTGAAAATAAATATTTTTTCCTAATCGAAGTTTCTTACAAAAATTTTTTTTATGGCAAAGTAAGTTGATTAATTCTAACAAACTTACTTATTAATTCATTAAAGATCCGTCTTGATTTATTTATTTATTTATTTATTAGTAAGTTAGAAAACAATGATAGCCACAGCAGTGGAAAAACTCCAGCAACGAATGATAAACCTTATTCTGGAAAAACAATCCTTTGTTTTGAATAATAATAATCAATTTATTTTTATTTATTCGTAAGACATAATTACACCTAGTTAAGAAATCATCTATAAATACATTTTGCCACTTTAGTTGTAACTTTTTATTTTTTTTTTTTGAAAATCTTATTTTTAATTGGATGATAATGAAAGACGGCAAATAATTTTTTTTTGTATCCGTTAAGACGAACCATACTCACATAATTTAATCTTTTAAATCAAGTATGATAGATTGATACGGATATTTTTTAATATTTTCCTCGAAAGCAAAAAAAAGATTGAACACATAATTTTTTAAAAATTTCAACTTTTGCCATAAGGAATTAATTTTTTACAAAAGTTATATTTTTTAATGAAAAAAAAAAAAAAGATTTAAATAATCGATTGATTGATTTATGGGATTGATGATCATTCTTTTTTTGTCGTTTTGTGTAATTGTTACATCAGATATATAAAATATAGTTAATGTGTGTTTGTTGTTGTTGTCGTTGTTGGTGGCCAAATAAAAAGTATAAATTCAATAAAAGGCTTAAAACATTATCTTTTGTCAATCATGCTTTCTTCTATTTTGGTTTCAAATAGTAAACTTCCTTATTCTTTTCTGTTTTCTTTGCCACCTTCTGAAACAAAAAGTCTTCAGTTCTAATAGGTTCTGGTTATATTGAAATTAGTTGGTTGGTCACATAGAAATACTAATACTAATTTTTAAAGAACTAATTATTGCAAAAATCGAATAAATGGGGGGGGGGGACATTAAATCGATATTATATAATGAATGAGGTGCGTTATTTATCAAAATTGGTTGTTAAGGTTTTAGAAATTAGTAGCATTAAATATTGAGCCTGTTCCTTTGAGATTGTTTATTTAGGTATCTTCCCGATAAGAATATAATGACATTGAGAAAATCAGAAGTTCGCTTATATAGACAGATTGGGATTTTTAGACTTGACTTTAAAGAAAAAAATTTTTTTTTTCATGGGAAGATATCTCCAGTAAACCCTTAAAGACTAGGTGTTGTGTGAGTAATGCACACGGCAATCAAGAGATAAAATCTTAGGCATGCATGTTTTGGAAAAGTAAGTCGTCTACGCCTAATATTAAATTGCTAGTAATTTTCTTTTTTTTTAATATATTAATCATAAGCATATATTCAATGCATTCATTGTCTTTTATATATAATAAGAAAAATAAAGCACATTTTCATTCAATATTGCCTTTTCTTCTTTACTGTAGTTTATTATATTTTGGAGATATTATTACTTTGTGGTGGCGGTGTTGAGTCCTGATAATTTATCCTGATCATTATTATTTTACTTGAAAATAAAAGATAACATGATTATCCAAGAAACTGCTTGCCCTGTGATAAACGTGCATTTTTCTTTGACCTTTTAGTATCCCCCATTGATGCTTCTAAGTTTTTAAGATCTTGAAATATTTAAAAAAATTGCGCTATTACTAGTTTTAGTATTAGCTATCTTTGAAACAACTTTTGACATAAGCATTCATTGACCCCCGCATTAAATCATGCCCCCTTGTACAATTTTTTTGTTCTTTTGTCTTTCATGTAAAATTTTCGCTACGCCGAATTTTGAAATACAGGAATAAAATATCACACACCTCCATTGCTTGTTGGTTTCTGGTTCGTGTAGAAAGAAATTAATCCAATAATTAATTGCAAGGTTAAAAAGATTTGGTCTTCAATTTTTCCAGTTAAAAACTGGCTGGTCAAAATTTTATCGGTTATATATTTACTATCTGGATTCTGAAAAATCAAAAGTTTCAATATCGCCACCTTCTAGTCTGATCACCACGAACACATTCAATTTGTTATCTGTTTTAATCAAAGTTTGTCATTCAACGCTTGAAAACTGATTGGATAAAAAAATATCTAAAGTTTTACAATGTTAGGATAAAATTGTGAAGATGAATAATTGGTTCACCAAAATCATCCATCATTCGCACTATAAGTCGACAGAATATAAAATAATTAATAGGTTTAAAATTTTTTGTTAATTACTCATTGGATAATCAATGAATATTTTAATTATTCACCAAATGATTACCCGGATATTGAATTTAATTGATTGAATGAATATAAAACGAAAAAATCAGTGGATTAAATTTTGTTCTTTTTTGAATTCCGGCTTGACTAACTAATCTCTCTCACTCGGAGCGGACGTTTCAGGTCCACACAAGTGTTTAGACAAAACCGGAGACCTATTTTTATTAGAATGGATCATCTTTCATTATCCAATTTGACTTCTTAGAACCACCCTTTACTTTGCTTCAAAATATGAGCAGCATTATTGTATTATCACTTTTCCTATTATAGCAACTGAATGTTCTACTTCCATTTTAAATGAATGGAAAAGAAATAATTAATTTTTTAATTAATTAGAAATGAATAAACCGATTAATTAAACGAGATCGATCATTTTTCCAGTCTAGTTAATGGAAAGATTGAATAGAAAGAGTTATTCGGTTAACCGGTTAATTTTAGAAATGATTAACCGATTAAGGTTATTAATCAATTAACTGATTAATTTAAACCATGTCTTTACTTACATTCGCTTTATTTGGACATGTGATTTTCAATTCAATTTACATGAGATGTTGATATTCACTTTTAATTTATTATATTTGGTAATCAATGAAAAAATTAAATATTCACTGAATGAATATTCAATGAATAATATTCATTGTGTGTAACCTCTAATTCGGTGGCCATTCTAGTGCACTAAAAATTTCCATAGCATCTAATAGATGACAAATTGGAAAAAACGAATTTCGAGCTCTGAAACAACTGAATATGCAAGTTTCATCATTTCCATGCCACATTATTTTCATCTTCAAATACCTTTGTAATAATATTTTACATATGAAATCATATGAGATTGTGCAGCAATATCAGTACTTTCATCCCAAAAGACGATGTTTCATCTAATTCTCTCCAAATTATTGATAAAGATGTAGATTCCAAAATTTGATGACAAAAAAACAAGAATCCTCATAATTAATAGAACTATAGTTAGATAATTATAGTTAGAGTTAGAAATAAAGTAAAGTGAATTAATGTCATACCAAGATTTACTGTACTAGAAAACTTATGCAATGGAATGCCATTTTTGGCCATCCAATATATAGTTTTCATTAACCCAAAGACATGATTATCAGCCCTTTGGACAGTATTGCTAGAACTTTATACACCACTTCTTTTGCCTTTTCTCTATTTATAGCATCTAAAACTCTGAATGAGCTGAGCCAAGCTCTATCCAAGAAATAATAGGCTCGAGTTTGATGTTATATATATTTTTTTTAGGTAAATTCTACTATATATTTCATAATAATTTTATTTATTTATGCACATTACTCTTAAGGATTTTTTAATATAGAATTTACAACTCCATATAATTAAATCAATA